GTATCAGATGCATTAGTATTCTGTGGAATATCAAATAAACTGATTGAAATGGACTGTACAAAATGCAGTAATACATACCGGAGGTAAGTCAGGGACGTCGATGAACTCGTGACCAGCCGGTGGAGGGGCGAAGGGGATCTGATAGGTCGACCCACCCTGCCCCTGGAAAGTCAGTACAGCGGGCAGGGCAGGCCAGCCAGCTCCCCGTCCTCCCTGCACTCCGCCCCTGCCACGGACTCGGGCCCTCCTCGCAGCCCCTACTCCAACTCCCGCTCCGGCCCCAGCCGCCGATGCCACAGGCCTGGCCCCTTCTGCTCGACGGCCGCTCAGAGGTCGCATCAGGTACGTCTGCACGTACTCCCGATAGTCTCCGGTGCCTCTGAAGCCGGCCTCCTCCCAGCCAATGGTGTAGTCATCCATCTGCTCGCTGGTGAGCCTCTCGGTCTCCCTCATATCCGCAGGAGGGTGAACCGGGACTATCTGCTCAGGTAACCCCAAGGTCTGGCGTAGGAAACGATCCCCCAGGTACCAAGCCCGACAGACCGGGCCTTCAAGCAAGATCTGGAAACGCGAGGTCTCCTCCGCACCAGCGAACCGATCCCGCATCGTCGCCGGCAAGGGAGCCCACGGCCGCCATGTGATCTGAAAATGACAGACAGTTTGTTATCTACTGTTTTGGAAATATACAGTGGAAAAGCGAAGCTTAAATGAACTGTAAGTAAAACATACCTCGGCAGGGGTAATGGTATCGAAGTATCGGCGGAAGAAGCCGAATGTCTCCCGTGGTCGCCGGGTGCATCTCCCGTCGAAGCGACTCGAAAATGGGACGGCCAGAGGAGTCTCCGCAACTGGCACAGGAGCGAGCCTAGGGAAGTAGGCGTAAACCCACAACTGCAAGATAAATACCAGTGCATTTATCAGTTGAAGCAGAATGCAGAATAAAGCAGAAATGGCAGTGCCGTGTGTTATGCAGTGTACAGTGTACAGTGAGCAGTGTACAATCAGTGTAAAGCAGAATGTATGTGTGTGCCGTGTGTACAGTATACAGCAAGTGTAAAGCATACTACAGTGTGTGCAGTGTACAGAGTACAGAAAGTACGAGACAAAAATGAAAAAGCGGAGAAGAAGTGTACCTCCCAAGCCCGCCAGTAGCCTCCGAGTAGCTGGCCGCTGCCGCGAGAAGCCGAGCTCATGTACCCGTAGAGAGTGGACAGAGCGGCGCCGCCCCAATCATAGTGCAGAATGTCCCGGACGTCCACCAGTGTGCTGAGAAGACAGAGAGGCACGGTGTTCGCCCGGTCGGCGAAGATGGTAGTCCCGGACAGGAACATGAGGAAGCCGCGAGCATACCTCTCCACGTCCTCTGGGGTCATCTCCGCCTCCTCCTCTAACACGGGCTGGACTCGAAACTGGACCTCAAACCAGGAGTATCGAACGAAACCTGGGCGAGCTAGGGGTGGCGCCTCCCCCAGTAGATGGACCTGAGCGGCGGTCCACTCATCCATGTCAATGTCGAAAGGGATCGGATCACCCCCTACCCCGATGCCAGTGAGCATCGAGAAATCGTAAGGGGTCATCGTCATGTCCCCTGCAACAGAAAAGTGAAAAGAATCGGTGGTGTCCCACCATCTCTCCGCCAGAGCGGCAAGGAGAGGCCTACAAGTGGAGAGCCTAGAGAGTCCTCGGCAAAAGGCGTCGAAACCCGCTCGATCCACGATGCGCCGGACTGCATCAGGGAGTTCACCGTACCACTCCCGAGCACCAGTATTCCCATACCCACGAATGGTATGGGAACCCTCCTGCAAACAGAAAATAACAATTGCAAGACAACATTCAAAATGCAGTTTTGAAAAAGCAGATAAAGCATGTGTGCAAGATTGACAGATTCAGGAAAATACCGGGTGCCGGTGTGCTTACAGTGAACTACAACGTGTGATGTGTCAGCATGTTTGGGTGTTTCAGAATAGATATAGCATGTGTGCAAATTTAACAGATTCAGACAAATACTGGGTGCCAGTGTGTAAAGTGAACTACAGTGAGTGCAATGTGTTTGAGTAATTCAGGGCTAGTGCAGTGTGTGTGCATGTGTCAGTCTCAAGCAGATATCAGTTGTATGTATGTTTACAGTCAACTACAGTCTACAGCATATCAGTTTTCAGCAGTTAAAGAATACAACTAGCTATGACAGGTTTTGTATCCTACATTGCGAAAAGTAAAGCAGAAGACAAAGAATTACCTCGGAAGTGCCGAATGAAAGGTGGGAGGTAGGCTCACGCAGTAGTAGCTCAGGCGCCACGTGCCTCTCGAAGCTCCGGAACTGACGCAGGCCGTCGGGGGGCAGAACATGGATCGCCGGTCGATAGGTCGCCGGGTCGAACGGGCGCTCGCTCAGTGGTAGGAGCTCGACCCTGGGATCCATCTCGTGGTCCGGGGGAGTCCCGCCACGTGGAATGTCGTCCACCATATCAGAAATGATGAGAAAATGGCCGGAGGAAGGAAAATCGGGCCGGAATAAGAAGACTCAACCGAAAAGTCGACTCCCGAGAGGGTCGGGAATGGCCGGAAAGGCCGGAATGTGGAAGGGCACGGAAATGAAGAGGAAAACAAGGGGAACAAACCCCGAAAAGGCGGGAACGCCAAACGAGGCACCGAAACAAAAATGTGATCGGTTGAAAATGTCCGAAACGCGAAGGAAATCGCGAACCCGACGACGAAACGGGCGTAGAACGCAAAAAAACGGACGGAAAGTGAAAGGAAAACGCTCTAGAGAGAGAGGGCAAGAGTTTTCGGCGGTGGAGAAGTGAGGAATAGGGTTTTGAAACCCTATTTTAAAACACCCGAAATGAAAAGTCGAATCTGCCCCGACTCAGCAACTGTTTGTCGGTCGGCAATGTTTTGTGCCGGCCGGCACTTTTTGGTGCCGATGGAATTATTTTTCAGCCGGTGGACAGCCGGTGGCCTCCCCTCCGGGCCGGTGATGTTCCCACAGCCTTGTTTAGGCCATGTGAGAAGTTTTTGGTCTTCATAGCTCAAGAAAGTACAAGAAAGTGTATCTCCGATGCTCAACCGGCCTCCGTTTCGACTACGGACCGCGTCTGCCGCGCGTAGCACTCCAACTCATGCAATGTTGCATCCTTTGGTATCCTTTTTGCCTCTTACAAGATCCAAAAGTTACCCCGTGTGCGTTGGACATGTTCATCGCACTATCTCGGTGCATTACATCGCGCTATTACGCGCCTCGCAGTTGCATTGTTATGCACATACTACATGCGTTGTAACACGCACCCCTTTGCATTGCCATGCACATCTCTCATGCATTGTCATTGCATTTTTATTCCATGCATTGTCATGCATTTCAAAACACGTGCGTTGTTACGCATTTAAGTCGTTTTACATTTCGTGTGGCATGCGTGTCACACTTAGCATCGTTTTATATTCCGTGTGGCATGCGTGCCACACTTACCATCGTTTTACATTCCGTGTGGCACACGTGTCGCACTGAGCATCATTTTGCATTGTATGAGGCATGCGTGTCTCATTTACCTCATTTGCATGTGTGCCCCAATTGCATCGGCATGCGTGCCTAATTCTCATCGGCATGCGTGCCCCACTTTCAATGGCATGTTTTGCTTGCGTAGACCGCATGTTAATTACACTACCTGCGTAGACCGCATGTTTGTAATCAATTCCAGTACTTGCGTAGACCACATGTTAATTACATTACCTGCGTAGACCGTATGTTTGTAATCATTTCATTACTTGCGTAGACCGCATGTTAATTACATTACCTGTGTAGACCGCATGTTTGTAATCATTTCATTACTTGCGTAGACATGTTTACAATCAACTACGGTGTATAGCATATCAGATTCAAGCAGTTAAAGAG